CATGTTCTTGATGGGAAGACTCAATATTGTTAACACAACAATTCTTCCCAAATTAATCTGTAGATTCAACATAATTCCAATAAAAGTCTCAGAAGCCAGACCTTTTTTTCTAGAGATTGATATGGTAATTATAAATGAATATGGAAGGCAAAAGACCAACACTAGCTAAATAATCTTGAAAAGGAAGAACCAAGTTGGAATGGGTATCCTTCCGAATTTCAGGATTCCCATATGGGACAGCATCAAGACAAAGGAAAGACAAAGGGATCAACGGAACAACGTAGAGAGAGAATAGGTCCACACATGTATGGACGAATAATTTTTGACAAGGACAAAGTTCTTTTTTTTACACTCTTATTAGTCATTCCAATGAGAAAAGTAAAACTTTGAAAACAAATTGTTCTAGAATGACTGGATGTCTGTGTAGTAAACAGTGACCCTGGACCCATACTCACACCATGCTCAAACATCAATTTCAGAGGGATGCAACTTAAAGATACACAAAGAGTTCATATATAAAACACTAAAAGTGCAGACTATAAAAAGAAATAAATTGAACTTCGCCAAAATTCAAACTTATGCTCATCAAAAAAGCAAAAGCAGCATCAAAAATGTAAAAAGAAACAAAAATAAAAAAGGAAAGCTACAGATGGAATAAACTAGTGATGTGCTGAAGTGGGCTCCTCCCACTTCACAAGAGCCTTCCAGAATAAGCAAAAATAGCCTACAGTGTTAGAAATCAGACCGGTGTTTGCTTTCGAGGGCATGGGCGACAAAAAGTGTCACAGAGAACTTTCTAGGGTGACTGCGATATTGTGTATCTTGATATGCATCTGTCAAAACTGAACGAACATTATACATAAGATATGAGCATTTCAGTATATGTCACAACATAGAGCAATCTTTCAATAATGAAGGACTTATTGCAAAATTAAAGAAAATAAAACTATTTTCTACTTTCTGAACTTAAATAAATCATGTGAACAAAATTAATGAAAATCTGAGATGAAGTATTTGTCATAAACATGGTATGAATTCTCAAAATCACCAAGAGACACAGTAGAACTAATTTTTTATAAATCTGATAAAAGACATTTATATAAATGACTATATAGAGATATTTGGAATGTTTACTGGTAAGGAATTTCTGGAAAGAAATTTGGCAATGTATGATTCTTAAAAGAATTTATAGTATTTGCTCCAATGA